GGGGGCTCCTGGAGTGGGGGTCTCATCACCGCCAAGACCTGGGTCCCAAATGCCGCGTCAGCAGCCGGCTCCTCCTCCAGGACCTGGGAGGCAGGCAGAGGAGGTTGGCCTCAGGGGCCCGTGGTCTGTGGAAGGATTCCAGTGAGCCTCAAGGAAGACTTCGTCACGGGAGGCCGGATGGTGGGCTAAAAAGGCGGGCTTTGGAACCGGGTGGATTCAAACCCGGCTTTGCCACTTGCGGGTTGCTGCGTGACCTTGGACAAGTGATCCCTCATCTCCCCAGCCTTATGGCCTCCCTGTGAAAGTCTTTTTCTTTTTTGAGTTGGAGCCTCACTCTGTCACCCAGGCTGGAGTGCAGTGGCAAGCTCGTGGCTATCACAGCCTCGACTTGCTGGGTTCAGGTTATCCTTCCACCTCAACCTTCCAAGTAGCTGGACCTACAGGCACGCGCCACCACGCCTGGCTAATTGGCTCAGGCAATTCTCTCAACTGGGCATCCCAAAGTGCTGGGATCATAGGTGTGAGCCACCGTGCCCAGCCTCCCTGTGAAGATCTGAAGCCTGCTTGCTAGGCTCGGGGAGGAGTGGGACCAGGCCCATATGCACACCCTGCTGAAAACCCTGCAGCTCAGCCCATAACCTTGCCATTATTATTGTTATTTTGAGTTGGGGTCTTACTCTGTCGCCCAGGATGGCGTGGCATGGCACAATCATGGCTCGCTGCGGCCTTGACCTCCTGGGCTGATCCTCCTGTTTCATCCTCCCAAGAAGTTGGGACTATAGGCACATGCCACCGAGCCTTGTTTATTTATTTACTTATTTTTGTGAAGATGAGGTCTTGCTGTGTTGCCCAGGCTGGTCTTGAACTTGTGGACTCAGGCAGTCCTCCTGCCTTGGCTTCCCAAAATGCTGGGATTACAGACATGAGCCACCATACCCAGCCTGTCATTTTTATTATTATTATTTTAGATGGTCTCACTCTGTCACCCAGGCTGTGCAGTGATGTGACCATAGCTCAATGCAGTCTTGAACTCCTGGGCTCAAGCAATCCTCCCACTTTAGCCTCCTGAGCAGCTGGGACTGCAGGTGTGTTCCAACATACCTGGCTAATTTTTGGGAGGCAGAGGCGAGAGGACTGCCTGAGCCTGCAGGTTCGAGACCAGCCTGGGCAATACGGCAAGACTTTTTCTCTACAATAAATAAAAAAACTAGCTAGGTGTGGTGGCGCATGCCTGTAGTTTCAGCTACTTGGAAGGCTGAAGTGGATCGCCTGAGCCCAGCAGGTCGAGGCTACCGTGTCCCTCCGTGAGCAGTGTGCCACTGCACTCCAGCCTGGGTGACAGAGTGAGACTCTCACTCAAAAAATAAATAAATAAAATAAAATAATTTTTTTTGTAGAAATGGAGTCTTATTATGTTGCCCAGGCTGGTGTCAAACTACTGTACTTGAGTGAACCTCCCACCTCAGTCTTTTTTTTTTGAGTTGGAGACTCACTGTGTCACCCAGGCTGGAGCACAGTGGCATGCTCATGGCCACTCCAGCATCCACCTGCTGGGTTCCCGTGATCCTTCCACCTCAGCCTTCCCAGTAGCCGGAACTACAGGCATGTGCTACCACACCCGGCCAATTTTTAAATTTATTATAGAGATGAGGTCTTGCCAAGTTGCCTGGGCTGAGTCTGGAACCCGTGGGCAAAGGTAATCAATCCACTTGCCTCAGCCAACCAAAGTGCTGGGACTACAGGCTGAGCCACTGAGACCGGCCTGATGTTTTATTTATTGTAGAGAAGAGATCTCGCCGAGTTGCCCGGGCTGGTCTCAAACTCATGGGCTCAGGCGACCCACTCGCCTCGGCCTCCCAAAGTGCGGGGATTACAGGCTGAGTCACCGAGCCCAGTCCCACCTCAGTCTCTTAAAGTGCCGGGATTACAGATGTGAGCCACAGTGCCTAACCATCATTATTAATGGTGGCAATAACGGAGACCACCCTAGAAGACCCAGAATGAAGGCAGGGCGGTGTTCACTAGGCCGAGCTGCCCAGACGCAGGGGGCGACCTGCTTGGCCTCCTCACCCAGCCAGTAGACTCCACCATCTTCAGGTCCATGGGGTCGCCCACAGGGGTGTCCTGGAGCCGGCCGAGGGCATGGCAGGTGGCCAGAGCTCGGAGCAGGGGACCCACGGGCAGGCGGCGGGGCTCTGGGACCAGTGGCAGGAATGCCTGCCCCTTCAGGGGCACCACCCCCATCACGTCCAAGCCGTCCTCGGTGAGGGTGCCTGTCTGCAGGGGACAGGTGGGCGGGCAGCAATGAGTCCTGGGATGAGCTGCACCCTGCTGAGCTGGGCATCCCTCCCCGGCCCTTGCCAAGCAGGTCCCAGGGAACCCCAGCAGCCCCACTGCCCTCTCCTGCCTCCCGACCTTTGCCCATGTGGCTCTCTCTGCCGGGGTCACCCTCCTAAGCTCTAGCTTCTAGGTCTGGCAGCGTGTCCTCCAAGACTGGGGTGGGTGCCCCCTGCTCTGGCCTCCCACCCGTGGCCTCTTCACCTCCCCACCGTTTGTGCTCTGTGCCACCTGCCTGGAGAGGACCTGCCCTTCAGTCCGCACTCGGTTTGTTGAGTGAGTAAATGAATGAATGAGCGAATAAATGCCTGCATTCCCCACGCTGGATTCTAACCGCCCGGGGTCACATCTGGCCCCTGTGCTCGTCTGAGAGCTGGGGACTGACGATGCCCCACTGCCCCCCAGTTTAAAAACTCTCTCACTCTGGCACCCTCTGCGTGCCATCTGGCCTCCCACCTCCGCCCGCCAGGCTGCCACTCCCAGCCTTGTCCTGCGCATTGCTCACCCTGCCCCAGGGACACAGCTGTCTGCTCCACGCGGCTCCCGCCTCTGGGTCTTTGCACTGGCTCCTTCCCCACCCACCACTCACCGAGCCACTGAGGGAGCCACTGGGGGAGGGGTTCCTGGACCACCCTCTCTCTGAGTGCCCCCCCGCCAACTACCACCCACCATGGTCCCCCGTGGGCCTCATTCCTCAAACCCGTTGCCTCTGCGGCTCCTCGGGTGCCCCTGGTTCTCCCATTTTGGGGAGCCCATGCATGCCCTTGTCCACGAGGATGCCCTGTGTAGGTCCCCACTGGGTTCCAGGGTTGAGAGCAGCCCTGGACACACAGCAGGCCCTCAGCAGCTCTTGAACACATGAATAAATGATCCTGGACCTTTCAACTGCCAGACCATGAGCCTGGTAAGGGTGGGGACGGGGGGGCTCTGGGTGTTTCCACCCCCAGACAGGACCCGGCGTCCAGCAGGCCCCACCAACACTGCCCAGTGCGGGACACGGGTGTGTCTCCCAGCCCAGCGCCCGCTCCGCCCCGACTGGCGGCCCACCTTGTCGAAGCACACCAGCTGCATCTTGCCCGCCAGGTTGATGCGCAGAGGGTGGAGGCAGAAGATGCCCTGTCTCCGCAGCCGGCTCTGGGCGTAGAGCGTGCACACGGTCATGGCGGCCGGCAGGGCGGGAGGCACCACCACCGTCACCAGGTCCAGAGCCCGGATCACAATCTCGTTCAGAGGCACCTGGTGGTGGTGGGGAGGGGTAGGGAGCACCGTGAATGCTGAGGGCCGGGCTGGTGGGCCCCGGCCCCCTGCTGGCAGCGCCCCCCAGCTTACCCGGTTGCGGTGCAGGATGAAGATGCTGTAGATGGTGCCAAGGAGAGCTGGGGAGACAGAAGAGGACTCAGTGTGACTGGGAACCCGGGCCGGGCTACTGGCAGAGCTGGGTTTGGGGCCTACTCACCCAGGACAGACAGGGCAGCCACGAACTTCATGCTGTGCTTGTAGAACTTGAAGTCGAGGGGCCGCGGGTGCAGGATGGAGCTCACCAGGCCCCCTTTGGCTGTGCTGAACCCTGCGGAGACAGGACCCCAAGGCCGGGAGCAGGTGAGGACGGTCTCCTCCCACTGGCCCTCCCCACTCGCCCCTCTGGGGTGACAGGCACGATGTCTGTGAGGTTAGCCATCAATGAGGTCACAGACGAGACCCCCAGCATTGCCCAGTGCCTGGAGGGTTTTCTTTTCTTTTCTTTTTTTTGAGTTGAGTTTCACGCTGTTGCCCAGGCTGGAGTCCAGTGGCATGCTCACGGCCACTGCAGCCTCGACCTGCGGGGCTCCGGCGATCTTTCCTCCTCAGTCTTCCAAGTAGCTGGAACTACAGGCGTGCGCTACCACGCCCAGTTAATTTTTTAAAAATTTATCGTAGAGATGAGTTCTTGTTAAGTTGTCCAGGCTGGTCTTGAACCCCTGGGCTTAGACAATCCTCTTATCTCAGCCTCCCAAATTGCAGGGATTATAGGCTTGGGCCACTATGCCCAACCTCTTGGAGGGTTTTGGGTTTTTTTGAGTTGGAACCTCACTCTGTCATCCAGACTGGAGTCCGGTAGCACACTCCTGGCCACCACAGCCTCGACCTGCTGGACTCTGGCGATCCTTCCGCCTCAGCCTTCCAAGTAGCCAGAATTACAGGCACGCGCTACCACGCCTGGCTAGTTTTAAATTTTTTATTATAGAGACGAGGTCTCGCCAAGTTGTCCAGACAGGTCTTGAACCCACGGGCTCAGGCAATCCAATCACCTTGGCCTCCCACAGTGCTGGGATTACAGGCTGAGCCACTGAGCCCGGCCTCTTGGAGGGCTTTTAAGAACAGAATTTGTGGATGGCACCTACACTGGGTGGTTTCACTTAAGATCTGGCTGTGGGTGGACTCCTTCCTGCTCGCCACAGCCCTGCCCCCAGCACGAGTAATCCCTGTGGCTTCTGTGGACACCGCAGTGCTTGGCCCAATAGGGCCAGCTTCTCCGCTTCTCCTGCTAAGAAGGGAACCCTGAGGCCAAGTGGGGGGGGGCCTGCCCGAAGTCTCAGAGCAGGACAGCGGCAGTGGAGGGCGCGGGGCCCGGGGCGCCAGGTCCCGCCCCGCCCGGTCCCCACTCCAGAAGGTGCTGAGTTGGTATCCCTCTTGGTCTTCTTCCTCCTACCTGTCCGGGTCACCACCGCCAGGACATGGGGTCCCACGTAGGCCCGGGCCTGCAAAACGAGGGTCCCACAGAAGAGCGTGTGCCGCCGGTGTGTCTCTGGGCAGTAGGGGCCTGGGCTCTCGGGCAGGGCCGTCTTCAGCACCGGAACGCTCTCCCCTGGGGACATGTGGTATGAGTGGCCCTTCACGATGCCCCCGCCCACCAGCAAAACGAGGAGGGATGCCTAGAATTGTCCCACAGGTCCTAGGTCTCATTTACTCTGGAACCAGGTGTGAGTAAGAAATCACAGCCCCATTTTTTTTTTTTTTTTTTTGAGTTAG